TATTCTATTCTATTCTATTCTATTCTATTCTATTCTATTCTATTCTATTCTATTCTATTCTATTCTATTCTATTCTATTCTATTCTATTCTATTCTATTCCATTCCATTAATTTATTTCAATTTATTCATTATATGTCCAGAGTGAACCCCCCTCCCTCAACTTCTCCCAGTCACACCCTCCCTCCCTCTTCCCCCATCCTCTTCCCCTAGTCCACTGAAAGGGGGAGTTCTCCTTCTCTGCTATCTGCCCAATAGCTTTTAAAGTCTTATCAGGACTACCTGGATCCTCTTCCTCTGTGGCCTGGCAAGGCCGTATTGCCAGGGGCAAGTGATCAAAGAGCAGACAATTGAGTTCATGACAGAGGCAACCCTTGCTCCTTTTCCTCAGGAACCCACATGTAGACTGAGCTGCCTTTAGGCTACATCTGAGCAGGGGTCTAGGTATGTTCACAGCAGCTTTATTTGTAACAGCTAGAATCTGGAAATAACCTAATGTCCCTCAATGGAGGAATAGATTCAGAAATTGTGGCATATTTACACAATGGAATACTACTCAGCTATTAAAGACAAGGAAATAATGAAATTTGCAGGGAAATGGATAGAACTAGAAAAGATCATCCTGATTGAGGTAACCCAGAAAGAGAAAGACATACATGTTATACACTCACTTATAAGTGGATATTAGTCATATATTATAGGACAGCCATACTAAAAGCTAAAGAAGTTTAACAACAAGGACGACCGTATGGAGCATGTTTAAATCTCATTCTGAATGGCCAACAGAATAGACACCAGAAGTAGTGGAAGGGAGGGTACAGGATGGGAGCCTACTGTAAAGGGTTCTCTGAAAGGCTCCACCCAACAGGGGTCAAAGCAGATGATGAGACTCACAGACAATCTTTGGGCAGGGAGCACAGAGTCCTATAAATGAAGGCAGAGATAGAAGGACATGGACGGGAAAGGATGCCCATAAGGAGATCAACAAATCTAATAAGCCTGAGACCAGTGAGTCCTGCAGAGACTGATGCACCAACCAACGACTATGCATAAAGAGGACATAGCAGTATTCTTAATAATTTGTAGAAAAACATGCAGGACAATCTTAAGTCCCAACTAAGCAATACACAAACAAAAGCAAACCATTATTATCCATACATGCAAAGGTGGGGTTTAGACAATAGAAAATAAAATAAAATAAAATAAAGAATATTTACGGAAAAAAAGTATTTATGGAATAAATTTGGGGTCAGTTGAACTGAGTTTAAAGACTTTACTTGGTGCTGTGGAAGAGGAGGAAGAGTGAGTCCCTGGGACTCTGTAACCCTCACATGTTGTATGGTGTGGTGTGGCTCTCAAGCACAGGGATGGGGAGGTGCTAAGTCCTTTTTTAAAAAAATAATTTTTAGTTTTTTTATATTAATCACAGGTTATTTACTTTGTAACCCAGCTGTAACCCCTCCCTCATTCCCTTCCAATCCCACCCTCCCTTATCTCCTCCCTGCCCCTATCCAAGTCCACTGATAGGGGAGGTCCTCCCTTTCCATCTGATCCTAGCTTATCAGGTATCTTCAGGACTGGCTGCAATGTCCTCCTCTGTGGCCTAGCAAGGCTACTCCTTCCTCAGGGGGTTGGGGGAGGTCAAAGAGCCAGCCATTGAGTTCATGTCAGAAATAGTCCCTGTTCCCCTTACTAGGGAAAAATCCACTTGGACACTGAGCTGCCATGGGCTACATCCGAGCAGGGGTTCTAGGTTATATCTATACATGGTCCTTGGTTGAAGAAACAGTCTCAGAAAAGACCCCTGTACCCAGATATATTTTGTCCTTGTGGAGCTCCTGTCCTCTCCAGGTCATACTAACTCCCCCCCTTCTTTCATATGATTCCCTGCACTCTGCTGAAGGTTTGGTTATGAATCTCAGCATCTGCTTTGATCCACTGCTAGGTAGAGTCTTTCAGAGGCCCTCTGCGGTAGGCTCCTGTCCTGTTACTTGTTTTCTCCTACTTCCAATGTCCATCCCATTTGTCTTTCTAAGTGAAGACTTATCATCTTACCCAGGGTCCTGTTTCTTGTTTATCTTCTTTAGGTGTACAGATTTTAGTATGTTTATCCTATCTTATAAGTCTTGTACCCACTTATAAGTGAGTATATATCATATGTGTCTTTCTGCTTCTGGGTTATCTCAGTCAGGATGATCTTGTCTAGATCCCACCATTTACCTGCAAAGTTCATGATTTCCTTGTGTTTAATTGCTGAGTAGTATTCCATTGTGTAAGAGTACAATTTCTGTATCCATTCCTCCGTTGATGGACATCTGGATTGTTTCCAGGTTCTGGCTATTTTGAATAAAGCTGCTATAAACATAGCTTGCTTGTATTCCACCTTGGTGTCTTGTGATCTTGCAGGGCTGGCATACTTGAGGAACAGCACTTCCCATGAGGTCTCAGCTGCTCCCAAACAGAAGGTCTTATGTTCAGGCTGAGGTGCTTAAGCCCTTCCACCTGATTCTCCGCAGCTATCCCCTGACTTAATACCTTCTCTTACAGAGCTTTTCCCTCAAAAGAGAAGAGCTTAGTGTGTGCTTTCTTGACTGTTTCCTGTGGTTGTGTTTCAGTGAGGCCTCTAATCTTTCAGCTTACAGGAAGGCCTCTTTCCTTGTCCTCTTTCTTTCTTTTGCTCTCTCTTTTGTTATTTTCAAAACAAGGTCTCACTTTATTGCTCAGGATGGCCTCAATTTATAACCCTTCTGCCTTAGTGTCCTGCTCACAAACATGATTATAAATATGTACTACCTTACTCAGCTCAATAAAGTCAAGCACTCCGGACAAGATAGCAGAAATTGTGAATTATCAGATTAAAAGAAGACCAAGGAGGTTTTGGGTGTTGCTCAGTGGCTGAGCACTTATCTACCATGTGTGAAGCACTGGACTTAATAGCATTACAAATTAAACTAAATAATTTAAAAAAATAGAGAAGATTATGTGCAGGGTAACTGAAAATGCTTTTTAGTCTCTGGTAGCTTTATAATTAATATTCAGTTTAGTTTTCAACAGAGTCTTTTCTCTCATTTGCTACCAGTCTTTCAGGAGCCCTCAGCCTTTCAGGACTTAGACCTCTCTGGTATTGCTTAGCTAGGAGCTTTTATCTCTAACCATCCCTTTTATAGCTAACAGTTACTATGTGGCTGTCAAGGTGACTGTGAGTTAGAGCTCTGCTACTGTCTTTTTAAGTGTCTCACTTAAAGGTATCCAGGCCCTATCAGACTTGCTCCTTTTTATAATTAGTAAGAGACATAAGAGGACCCTAAATAATTTTCCTAAAAAAAATAAGATGGGCCACACTTGGGGTGGGAGAGATGGTTTAGTGGTTAAGAGCATTGACTGTTCTTCCAGAGGGTCCCAGGTTTTATTCCCAGCACCCACATGGTGGCTTACAATGTTCTAAACCTCAAGACTTGGGGGCAGGGGAAGGTCTGATGGCCATTTTTGGCCTCTGAGGGTACCAGGCTTGCATGTGTTACACAGACATTCATGCAAATAAAATACTCATCCACATTACAGGATGGTAGGCCATATTTAGTACCAATATTGAATGAGTACACTTGAGTTATTTTAATGTTAGTAAGAAGGGGCTTGCCCTTCCAGGCTGGAGTGTCTAGATACACAGATATACACTTTAAACATGGCTGCTGTGTTTTATTTTTGTGACTTTTTGAGAGAGGTCTCTCTACATAGGACTGGCTGTCCTCGAACTCAGCATATATTTCAGGATGTTGTCTGCTTCTACCTATCAATTGTTGGGATTAAAGGCATGTGACATTGTGCCCAGCTGCTGTGAATTTTTATTTCATACCTTAAGGCTCACTTGTAAATGTTTAGGGGCCATTTAAATGAAGGAGCAGACCCAGCTTACTAGCTACCTTGTAAGACTTCAGCTTAGGTTCTTGGCTCCTAGCGTATTCCCAATGCTTGTCACTCTGCCTGACATTAAGTACTTACTCAGTACACAAACTAAACAGGTGATGTCACAGGTAATGGGACTTTTGGGTTCTTTGAGTTTTATGCCAGTCTAGGAAAGAACAGAACCAGGAAATTTCCATTCTATACCAGTGAACTCATAACACTTAGAAGTATTCCCCGAACATAAATGTTTTAACCTGAAATTAAATATTTTATATGTCTTGTGAGCTAAAATCTTATCTAAACCCTTGGTACACACAGGCTAAAATCTACCTAGTGTTAAGGCTTGTAGCGGTAGAACATTTAAGAATGATGCCTGATAATTGGAGGTAGTAAGTAGTTAAAGGATCCCTGAGTATTTCTCAAAAAACGAAACTTCCTGGTTGGAAATTCAACAGGGGCCATTAGACCACAAAGAAGGAGACAGAGTTGTAACATTTTGGACCAGTCTTTATGTTTGTATAGGGTGAGACCCTTGTCCCTCCCTGGGCGCTAAATTGGCAGACAAGAGGACCCAGGAACGCAGAAGTAGTTGACAGAAGCAGTTCTGTCCTCAATTCCAGAGATTCTGTGGTCAGAAGAACACATGGAGACAGACAGGCCCTACTTCTCATTTGTAAAACAGGCTAAGGTAGGCCACGCGGTTCCGATGCTTTCTAAAGTCCTTGTCTGTAGACAGCTGCAATGAAAGAATATTGTCCAACTCAGTATCCCAACAAACATCCTCTGCTTGTGATCTTCCTGACTATGTGAAATGGAACTTCATACTCTTAACTCTGTGGCTAAGTGGAGCCCACCCCAACAGTAACTGAGGTGTAATGACTCAGCATCTGTGATGAATGATGTACAAGAGTACATTCACATCATAGTTTGGTGTTCATCATGTGAGAAGTGACTGGTTACTTAGAAATTTTTGAGTAGTTGGTCACCATCTTGAAGGTAAAGACTATATGTTTTACTACATGTTACCCATAGATCCTGAAACATATACATATCATAGGCATTTAACAAATAGTCATAGGTTTAATCCTAAATTCGACTCAGGAAAAAACAAAACAAAACACATAACTCTAAAATGATGATAGCCAACCCAAACTAACTATATATTCTTATGTATTGTATTCATGCTTTTCATATTATCTCAGTTATTTATCTTTACAACAACGCCAGATAAATTGTGTTATTAAATTAATTTTAAAGATAAAAAATTGATACATAGAAAAAGGACTAAAGACCACACAGGAAGCCAATACTACACTCCTATTTGAAGATAGGTAGTGCTTTCCATGCTCTTTCCCGGAACGCTGTCTAGGTCTCCAGTGACCTAACTTGTATGTGATATGTCAGAAAGAGCAGTGCATCAGGAGTTATAAATATGGATTGCAACTGCCCAGCCACCTAATCAATTACTATCATCAGTATCTTCCTATATTATTTAGAATATGTTCCCTTGTAGAAGTTAATCCATTATCTAGGGATCAAATAAAATATTTGGTCAGTCATAATTATCTATAAAGAGCTAATGCATATATATTTACACATATATAAACAAACTTCAGAGGCTCATGAACTTTCTAAAGTTCACTTACAGATTTCTGGTTAATAACAAATGATATATAGTGAAGTACTCAACAGAACAGTGGTTTAAAGGCCAATTTTAATACCTCAGCTTTTAGTGTTCTTTTCTCTAGATGTGGAACCTGAGACCAGTCTGGAGATCCAAATTTCATTGGCCAAATAACTTTTGGGGGTGGCTTCTTCTCTGGATTGTATGTGCCAGGGCTAGAAAAAACGAATACAGATATAATGGTTGGTGACTGAACAATGAATCCCACCAGTCCTTGGGAAAAAAAGACTAACCTTTCAATGCCAGGCAAGCATGAGTGTCATTTTCCTGTTACTTTATTTCTAGTTAGGTTGCCAGTGTTAAAGAGAGCCCCCCTCAACATCCAAGTAGGATAAAGACAGACTCCAGTTTAAAAATGTTTCTATAACTCAGTGTCCTTAGCTGAAAGGCCAGATGATCCCAGAAGATGAGTGATAAAATAGAACCATCATAGTGATGGACTAGTACTGCCCACAATTTGAACTTGGTGGAATATATTCAGAGACAATTTTGCTACAATATAGGAACAAGCCAAGCAGAACTGTTTCTTTTCTTTTTATTACAATTTATTCAGTTTGTAGCCTCACTGTAGCCCCCTCCCTCATCTCTTCCTGGTCCCACCCTCCCTCCTTCCCCCCCCCATTTCCTTCCCCTAGTCCACTGATAGGGGAGGTCCTCCTCCCCTACTATCTGACCCCAGCCTGTCAGGTCTCATTAGGACTGCCTAGATCCTCTTTCTCTGTGGCCTACTAAGGCCACCTGGCCAGGGGGAGTGATTAAAGAGCAGGTAACTAAGTTCATGCCAGAGACTGCTCCCGCCCCCCTTTCTAGGGAACCCCATGGACTGAACTGCCCATCGGCTAAATCTGAGCTGGGGGTCTAGGTCTCTCCATTCACAGTCCTTGGTTGATGCATAAGTCTTTGCAGGACCCCCTGAACCCAGAACTTTTGGCTTTGTTGGTCTACTTGTGGAACTCCTGTCTCCTCCAGGTCTTTCTATATCCCTGTTCTTCCATAAGATTCCCTGTACTCTGTCCAAGTTCGACTATGAGTCTCAGCATCCACTTTGATACCCTGTTGAGTAGAGTTTTTCGGAGTTCCTCTGTGGTTGGCTCCTGTCCTGTTCCCTTCTCCCACTTTTGATATTTATCCTGTTTGCCCTTCTGAATTAGGATTAGGACTCTTCCCTAGGGTCCCTCTTGTTGTTTAGCTTCTCCAGTTCCTTTTCTTGACAACAAGACTATTTTTTGGATTGCCTGTTTTTATAATGCTCTTAGAGACTCTATTAGAGTAGGTACAGAGCAAAGATTAACACTTAAATATCTTTAACACAAACTTGGAAAAGTTACTTGATTTACACTGAGTGGGTTCATACCCATCTAGAATAAAGCTCACTAAACCCTATTGGCTTATAAGAGCTAGATACTCTAGCTTGCCCCTCGCCCCTCTTCTGTGTTCACATTTCCTCCCTTTTCACTATACCCTAGCCATAATAATGTCTTCCTTTTCTATTTCATCAAGTTCCTTCCTAATTTAAAGTTTTTGAACTTGCTACCCTTTCTGCCTGGGATGCTCTGTCTTCACATCTTCACATAACTGGCTTAACCTATTCATTCAGATCTCAGATCAAGTGGCATTTGCTGAGAGTTTTCCTTAATAGCGTCAGATAAAGTAGCTTCCAGCCCATCACTTTATCATACCATCATCCTGTTCTAATGTCTGCATATAGGACTCATAGGACACCACCAGCTTACCACATGTTCTAGTGTGAGCATGACAGTCTCAGCTTACAGTTATTGTCCTGAGAGAATTCTCACTTCGCCTCCTCCCCCCCAGAAGTGTTGAAGTTTGACTAATAAATTATATGGTTAGTATCTTTATTATTGTTGATATTTTCTTGAACATTTACTTCTTATTTCTTTGGCTCTAAGATGTAATCTCCAAGAGATCAGGATCCCTGTTTGATGGGTATATTGAATAATTTGTGGAAGCTACAAACCACCTGATACATTAGTAAATACCTATTGAATTATTAATAACTGATTCTACAATTATATAGTACCAGAGGTGTGGGGAACTAGAGACTAATTCTTTAAAGATTTAGCTGGGACAGTTTGATGTAATTCCTGCTTTATGTGATTCTTTTTTTATTTGTGTTTGAAACACACAGTAAGCAGTAGACATACCCAGGATAAGAAATGTCCTTTGCTTCATAACTAAATCGAGGCACCAAGATATTAAATGGAGCAAAGCTTTGTTTGCATTTTTCATTCCAAGTTTGATCTTTCTGGTACATTCCTGGGTATGGTGTCACATCCTGTAATCACAAAAGATAAAGTTTGATAACGTATAATCTGTATTATCACAAACCATTTAAGGTAAAACAATCACTTTCATCCTGTTTATAAATCAGCTACAGCTCAATGTGTCAAAGATATAGAAATAGACATATGTAGGCAAAAACCTAGATATGGGATAATGATTCAGCTATGTAACGATAGCACTCAGAAATAAACTTAAAACAGGTGAAGAATCAGAGTAAGTTGGTACAGTCCAACACTGGGAGATTTTTATAGTTAGTGTCTCTAGTCCTTGACTGTTAATGTCCAAAAACACCAACAAGAGAGTACAATCTTATTTAGCCAGGGGCTCAGTAGAGGTACATTTGCTTTGTATATTCTAGGCTCAGAACTGCATCAGAAAAAGGAGAAAGATAAAGATTGTTTTTTTCCTCATAATTAGACTTAAAATCCAGTCAGACACACATATACAAAATGAAAAACCTGAAATTTGTCCTCTAGCTGACAAGATAATGTCATGTATATAAGCATAGCTTCTGTATTTTACCTTTAGGTTATTAAAGCCCTGTCTTGGGCATATTTCTTCAGTGAACTGTTTTTCTCTCTCTTCAGGTCTCTCACCTTCTTTCAGTGTCAATGCCCCAACTTTTTATGTTGCCACAAGGACCACCTTACAGTCCAGGAACATTACCTTGCTGACTGGCTTAAACCTCACAGCTGTCCTGGCTCCAATAGCATAGCCTTTCGTACTTGTCGGAATTCGAGATAGGTTATATGCCAAGCCATTCCACTTCCGGTGGAAGGAAGAGAGGGAAGGAGGGGAGGAGAGAGAAAAAAAACATCTGTAACATAATCATTCAACAGCCTTCAAAGAAGAGTGAAATTAGAATGTTCCTGTGTAAACTTCTCTGCAAAATGTTGCTCATTTCTCCCTCATCTTGATTCTTTTACAGTCAAAACCATACAATTAAACTTTGCAAAGAGGTGTGGCTGGGTAGATGAATAAATGGAATGAATGTATGTGAATTCCAACAACTTCCACCTTTAGAGCCTACAACAATTGAATTTACTTTCATGGAAGAATCAGCCTAAGGACTATACTAAGCAGAAGAAAACTGACATCAGTTCAAGGGGGTGTTAGAAGTGAAAATGACATGGGGATTATATGAAGACAAGGCTTCCAGTGGGGTGTAGAGCACACTGGCTCTACAGCTGGTTGCAAACCACGGCTCCTTCTCATGCTGGGACCCAGAACAAAAAAAGTCACACATAAATGGTCCTACCAAGGACCATTCATGGAAGTAACCTAAACCCCTGCACAGATGTAGCCCAGGGCAGCTCAGTGTCCAAGTGGGTTCCCTAGTAATGGGAACAGGGACTGTATCTGACATAAACTGATTGGCCTGCTCTTTGATCACCTCCCGTTCAGGGGAAACAGCCTTGCCAGGCCACAGAGGAAAACAATGCAGTCACTCCTGATGAGACTTGATAGACTAGGATCAGATGGAAGGAGAGGAGGACCTCCCCTATTATGGACTGGGGGAGGGGCATGGGTGAAGAAGAGGGAGGGATGGTGGGATTGGGAGGGGAAGAGGGAGCGAGCTACAGGTGGGATACAAAGTGAATAAACTATAATAAATAAAATATTTAAAAAGTCACACATAGCGTAGTTGTTCTACCAGAACACTTGTGTATCCTTCCAAAGACAGGAAACTAAGACCCACCTAGGGTGAGGTGAATACTTACGTCTGTTCCTGAGTAACACCCAGGACCTGTGTGGGGTAATCCCTTAAGAGGGAGATACTTGTTCCCTAGCCAGGTTGGAGGATGGTAGTGAGGAAATAGTTTCCTCTGTTGACATGTCCCAAAGGAGTAATTATCCACCTTCCCTAAAGATCAAGAGGAGAAACTCCAAGTGAGCATATCAGTGGAGACGGAGGGAAGCATGGGGGCAGGTATATTGGAGGATCTTGCTGCCAACTCACGGAAAACAGGATTAAATCCACGGAGCGGCGGAGCTAGCTGTACCTCCTCCGTGTTCATCTCTCCTGCTCTCCTTTCCTTTCTCCTGCTGTCTGCTTTGTAGTCCTCTGCTACTCTCCTCATCTACTCTGTCGAAGCACATCATGCTGGGTGCTAGGGTTCGCACTGTGTACAGTGTTGCCAAGGGAACGGAACAGCAGCGCGCCAGAGAGGTGGAGCATAAGGCCCTGAACGCGCCTGCGCAGCAGAATGCCTAGGGCACCGGCCATTTCACTTTTGAGCTCTAAGGATACCTGTAATTCAGCCTCTGGCCTGAGGGTGGAGCCTAATAGGCACCAGGTGAAAGGGCTGCGCCATCAGCAAATTACTTTGGAAGCATCCACGAAAAATGCACTGCTCTAAAGCTAGGGACATGCGGTTCAGACATCCCTAGGTCTGGACGACCAGGACCAGCGAAGCAGAAAAACTCGGAACTGTGTTGTCAAGTGAAGAGGATGTGCCGCTGGACAATGGCAGGAGCAGAGGATGGATGGTAAAGTTGAGCTGACAGTTCCTATCAGTTCCATTTTAGACCCATTTTTTTCTTTTTCCTCAAGACCAAGACACTCTCTCACCTCTCTCTCTCTCCCTTCCTCCCTTCCTCTCCCATCTTTTCCCTCTCCTTCCCCCCCGCCCCCCCCCCTCGTGTGTGTGTGCGTGTAGGAAAGCAGGTGTAGGCGTGTGTGTGGGTCTGAAGCTTTCAGAGGCTCTCAGGTGGAACGGTAACAGTGCAGTGGCATCGCATAAGTGCTTAATTTAAAAAGTTCTGAGTCTCAGTGTCCTCATAATTGTATTGATTTGGTTGCTGAGAATTTTAAAGCTGTGGAAGCAAAACCTCACACCGTGTGCTTCGTAACGCTTGACAGTGTGAAAGGTTTTCATCACTTCTGATAACAGCCAACTAGCCTCTGATCTCTCTCATCCTATCACTGTGTCCATTAGTGATCTTTAAACTTTGTTCTGGGCAGAGACAAGAACCAGTTTTCACGAGGTTTTAGCTTTAGGAAACATCCAGGTATGGGAGGTAACAAGGCACAGGGCTCCATGCTGCTGTCTCTTTAAATATGATTCTTAAGTCTACAAGTGCCTTAGGTTACCACTTTCTTCAGAGATAATTTTACAGATTTATTTAGTTTTAAAGATTCATCTATTTTGTGTGTGTGTGTGTCACACACACAGTCCAATTGCATGTATGTATGTCATTTGTAAGCAGGTGAAAGTCAGAAGAAGGTATCAGATCTCCTGCAACTTGTAGGCACTGGGAACTTGGGTCTTCTGCAAAAGCAGTAATTGTTGTTAGCCGCTGCGCTATATTTCCAACCTACGGAACTGAACTTTACAGATTAAACAAAACAAAACAAAACAAAACAAAACAAAACAAAACAAAAAGATTTTAAGCGAAAGTTGGGCCTGTTAGTTTAGGCCTTTAATCTCAGCTACTCAGGAAGCTGAGGCAGGAAAATCACAAATTCCCGGCCTCCTTGAACTATAGAGTGAGTTCAGTTTGGCTAACTAAGTGAGAACTACCTCAAAATGAAACATGAAAAGAGGGCTGGTGATGTACTCAGAGAGATTGCCTAGAATGCGTGAGGCCCTAGGTTCATTTCCCAGAAGTACAAAATAAACAAAAGGATACTATTTTGGAAATTTACAAAAACACATTGTGCATTTAAAATACTTCATGTTTCAATTGACACATAATTATAACTATTCGTGTCTTCATAGGTTATTTAAGTACATGTGTACATTGGGTAATATTAAAAAATCAGGAAAAACATGCATCTCACCAAACATTTGTCATCTCTTTGTGTTGAAAACTTTCAAATCTCTGTCTTCTGACTGAGGAGAGCATTTTTTTTTAAACCTAAACATTATTGGAGTGATGCCCTTGATCAGTATACCAAAGTGTTTAAATATCCTGTAGTGCACTGTCATGGGTACTATAAAGTGTCCACGTGTCCTTTTGGTGTCTATAAAACACAACTGGGAAAGAGCCAGGAGTGGTAATATACTCCCTAATGCTAGCACGAGGTGGTTGGAGGCAAGAAGATTAGAGTTCTGGAACATCCTTAGCTACATAGTGAGTTTGGGGGCAGCCTGGGTTATGTGGGTTTCCATTTCAAACAAAAACACTTAAAAAACAAAATCTATCTATCTATCTATCTATCTATCTATCTATCTATCTATCATTATTATCTATTATTTTTTTTAAAAAACAAGAACTAAGAAAGTAGTTAGGCTAGGGTGGTACACACCTTTAATCTCAGCACTTGGGAGACAGAGGCAGGCAGATCTCTGAGTTCGAACGCAGCCTAGTCTACAGAGTGAATACCAGGACAGTCAAGGCTCCATAGAGAAACCCTGTCTTGAAAAGCAAAAAAACTAATGAAGGAAACCCAGAATATGGAAGTTTGTTGTAAAGAGGTAAGATTTAAAGAGTATTATTTTTGAAAATTTTATACATGCATACAATAAAATAAAATCATATCTCTGCCATTTCCTCCTCCAATTCCTCTCATACCCTCACTTCACCTCCCTCCCAATTCTTTACCATTTTTCTTTTTGATAACTTATTAAGTCCAGTTAGCGCTGCCTATCCGTGTGTGGAGGTGAGCCAGTCATTGGAGCATGAGGAAGTATCAGTTACCATAAGGGGGCTAAACTCAAATGTAAGTCTGAAAGTCTTAGTATACCATTTACTCCAAGAATTTTATGAAAATATTATTATGATAATAATAATAATGATAAAGAAAATATAAATACATATTGGTTCTAATTTAATAATGTTCACTTCCATTTTTGTTTTAGACAATATTAAGATTTTTTTCAAAACTTTAAGGATAACTAGTTTTAAGACAATATTTTAATTTTAAATTGACACAAGTAATATATATTTGTAAGGTACAGTATGACACTTCCATACATGTATAGAATGTATAAATATCAAATCAACATTGTTTGCATAGTTAGCATCTAAGATACTAAAAAATAAGAAGAAACTTAAAAAATAACTATTTAAGAAAAATACTATCAACTTAGTTTATAAAAAAGTGAAAGGTATGAAGAGATAATTCAAAACAGAAAAAAGCCCAATTTCTTTTATGTTCTTAAATTTTTGTAATGTGATTACATTTCTAGATAATCTGATTTTTAAAATAAAAGAGAAACAAATTAAATACTAATTTGGTATATAGCTCAGACTTCAAAATTCGGTGGTTTGTGTTTTAGGATACTGATCATGTACTAATGTGGAGAATTCCCTGTCTATAATGATCTGATGCTTTTAATCCTTTTCCCATGAACAAATTATTTCCTGGCCTACTTATTATGTCCTTTGACATTAAAAAAAGCCCCAAGTTATACATGTAAGTTATATAAAATGTAGGAAATCTTATGACACAAATATATATATATATAACATTTTCAACATAAAACATGGATAAATAAGAAAACAGACAGAAAAATTAGTATGTAGGTTATAAACAAGGTCTTATTTCTTTACCGAATCTCTGATCTTGCCTTAAACATGTTTGAATGTAAAGTCAAAACTCCCTGCCATAAATTTGGAACTGTTATTCATGGAAGAATCTTTTATGGACCATTCATTATTGGCTTTGGTTACAGAATGAATTGTGATGTGGTAGATAATTCCCTCAGAAGTTTTGAAATAACAGACAAAGGCTTTTATTTACACCTGGTGCTGTGAACATGTATGATGGGTGATTTCGTTGCCGACTGGTATTTTCTTTTACCTGAGGAACCTGGTAACAGCACATTGTAGGCAACTCCGTGCAAATCAAAAATACAGTCCACACACAGGGAAGTCTTATGCTTTACCTGACTCAATATGAGGTGACAGCCCAACTGAATTCTGAGAAAACAAGATGGACTGAATTCTCTTCATATAAAAGTCACATCTCTCCCGCAGTCTTCCATCAGAGCTTCATCACTTCAGTGTTTATATTATTTATCAACTCTGGGATTTTTTTTTTTTTTGGCCTGACTCATTACATCCTTGAACACACTATTCATAGGATCCCTTTTTAGTTCTCAACCTATGATTCAAGAAATATAAATATTTTTACCTTCTCATCTTTTTTGAGAATTAAATTTGCATCATTAGTGACATGAAACATGATTTACAATGGACACTGAAAATAGGCAACCCATCAACACACAGTATTGGTAGGCTGGTTTGTTTCAGACGAATCTAGCTGAGAACCGGGATAAGAAACAAAACAAAAAACTAGCCCACGCAAAGAAGAGACTACATAAGAAGATACCATGAAGAAGACAAATATAGTGATGCATCTATAAAATACTCTCACACCCAAGGCTTGGGGAACATTGCAACAGAGGGGCAGAAAGACTGTAAGAGCCAGAGGACTAGGGACTTTGCTCTGAGATTGTAATATCATAAGCTGTACCCATGAAGTCTCACCAACATGACTGCCCAAACATGAGCTGAACAGGGATGACATAAATAAATGAACATGACAAAATAGCTGGGGAAAACTCACAAGGCCTCAACCCTACTCAAAGAACTCCAGGAGACTGAGGAAAGCTGGGAGTGGGCAGGATCTGGAAGAATTTAAAGGAGGGGAGAGGATATGCTTAATATATACAGTATGAATATAATTTCTTTTTAAAATAAAAATGTTCTATAATGTTTTTTAAAAAGCAATGTGATTCAATGGATCATGGAAGACAATAGTAGAAACAAGATCTGGCCTGTATAAATACCACAATAATGTAGCAATGTTGCTTTCTTAATTTTGTTAATGTATCTACTGACCATGGAGGAAACTGGGTGAGGAATGCTGAGAACTCTCTTCATGTACTCAAGTTTTTTGTGAATAAAATTAAATCTAGTTTGAATCTAAAAGAAAAAAAAAAAACAGACAAAGACAAACACACATAAAAGAGACATAATTACACAGTTTATTCTATAATACTTGCAAGTATTTGCCATTACAAGAAAATCTTTATGAATATAAATGAAATGAAACAAAGCAATATTGACCAAATAAGATGTGGTCTGTCATTTCATGATCAAGTTGTAGTTATCACATGAATGCAAGGTTGATGTAACATTTAAAAGTAAAGCCAAGCTC